ATATAATACCGATGTGACACCGGTCAAGCGCTGGAGTTGTTTAACTTTTGTCTCTGTTTCTTGTAAAGGGTGCACTACAAAAAGTGACACAGTGGAAAAGAAGAATGAACAGAATATGAAAACGACCGCAAATAATTGCAGTTTCGCATATAATTGCTTTAGACTCGAACTTTCAAAAAGTGACACAGTGGAAAAGAGGAATAAATTTAATAAGGAATCGGCCGAAAATTGTCCCACAGGCAGCGATGTCATTGCAGTCATAAATATAGTATTCGGTAATTTTTGTCTAGACACAACAATCGAATATTTATTGCCAGCGAAAGTTTTGATGAGCGAATTACTTAAGAGATTTATTGTTAACGGCACGCTGTGCATTGCTGAGCCGGAATAAAAACCATTAGCCCACGTCACGTTATTTTCAGTGTCATTAAATTTGGCGGATATGATAAGATTGTTTCGGTATTCCACAATATCTTTCATGGAAAAATTTAGAAGAGCTGAAAGAAATAATAGATATAAAAACTATCGTTCAGACAAATTTATTATCGTGCCTAATGCACAAAAAATCATATAATAATATGTAATACACTTACTATCAATAATACTTGCATTCGAAGCTATGCGCTCTGCTATACCGAAATATTCAACAATGTCTCTGTATTTCTGACCAATTAATTCGTTGTTTGACGAATATAAAATTTTGGGATATTTGTACATGTTGAGAGTTAATGGAATAATATCTGTGGAATCGGTTAACCAATTGAAACTTAAGGCGTCTAGGAGCACCGAAAAGATAGGAAGAATTAGCTGAAAACGTTAATAACATGATAAATAGAAGAAACTTTTCAATTTTAAAGTGTTACAAAAAGAAATATAAGACCAAATATACCAATATAAGACAAAATTTTATCTTTGTTTTGATAAAAGCACATAAGGAGACATACCATTATCAGTAAGTTAGTTAGATTCTTTTTTGTATATGTAATTTTCTTGTCAAATAATGCCAACATTGATTGCATGTATAGCTCATTGCCTGTAATTTTCTGTAATGGTGCTGTAAATAATTCATTAAGGTGTTTCCCATTATCATCTTTCTTTACGATTCTACAACAAATTGTA